ATACGTCCCGGCCTCCCCGTCCCAGCCTAGAGCTGCCCGCTGCCGACCGCGGCCTCTCCGGGTGATACGCTGCGCGGAGAAAGCGGTCCGAGGGCGGCGCCGCCCCTTTTATCTGCCCTCCGGCATCCGCCGCACCCCTCTCAGCCCACGCCACGACCCCAGACGCTCCGGCCGATTTATCCTGTCTCATAACTCTCTGGCCTGGCCGCGCCTGCTGTCAGCCTAGGCTTAGTCATCCCCGGCGGGAGCTGGGCCACACCCTGCCTGGGGGACACTGCACGGCCTCAGGGTGAGGAGGCACCACGACAGAGGCTGGGACAGGGTGGGCAGTGGGGCGCAAACCCGGCCGGTGTCAGAGACACTACGGTTGTGTACTGATTGCAGGGCAGCCTGAGGTCCCTCGCCACCACTCTCTCCACCTGGGGCCGAGGGCGCTGCTGGAACTCTCACCCATTCCCACCCCAAGTTGCAGTCAGAGGTCTCCCATCAATGTGCAGTCTCAGTCTGCTGCTCCCCTCCTCCCAGATCCAAATCATATCCCAGTCCAAATCATATCATATTCCTGGCGCTGGTTCTCACCCCTGGATTCCCTTCTACCTAGAAATTCCAATGATGGTTATGTCACTTTTCCATAAAGCCTTGGCCAATCTCCATGAGCTTCCTTCCTTCTCTCTTCTACTGAGGCTGGACCCTGGACATTGCATGTTCTGGATCACAGCTGGAAGCCCTAGCCGTCCTCCCTCCGCCCCCACCTCCTAGGAGGCTGTGAGCTCCGTGAGTACTGGAGTATGTTCATTTGTTCAGTCTAGAAATATCTGAGGGCTACCTCTGTGCTCATTAGTCTCCTGAGGTATGAAAGGAGGACTATTTCATTCAATTTAAATAAACAAGTATTTCCAGAACATCTAACAGATAATAGAGAATTAGCTAGTTTCTGAGAAGAGCAGAATAAACACAACTCTGCCATCTCCTAATTTATAGTCTAATAGAGGGGCAGGCAGGCATTCCAACACTTCATTGCACTAAATGAAAATCTCTGCTTTGGATAAACCTGGATGATATGGGAGGAGAATTAAGACTGTTAGAAGTTTCCTGAAATACAATGATATAGGACCCTAAGCGAAAAAGTTAAGTAGAATTTAGAGAATGTCCTCCATTTGTTTTGGGGTGCTTCTAAAGTGGGTTCTCATATATATTTGCTCATTTCAATCCTGGAATGTAAATGAGCTCCATTCTCCTTCCTTGTTCTAGGAAAACATATCTTTCCTACAGACACAATTCCTTTACCCACTATCAGTTCTGGAGGCTCTCAGTGCATATCTAATTCAGGGAGCATTTCAAATGTGATACACAGATCACTACTGAGCCCATCTCTTTCATAGAAGAAAGGAAAATCTGAAAATGAAATGATGTGCCATGAAATTCTTTTGCAAAATGATGTGAGAGGATTATTGCACAGCATGGGCTTGGGGTGGGCTGAGACTACAGCCAGACCCAAGGCTGTACTGTTTTCCCAAGGGAGAGAGGTGAGGTGGGCATTTTATTCTTCACACAAAAGTGGGAGCCATTCTCCAAGCGTTCACAGGCATTGCTGTCCACCAGGCTTCCCCTTAAGCTCTGAGGTCACTCATAAACAAATAAAAATAAAATAAAACAACAAGATAGAATAGAGATGAGAGTTACAACAGATGCATGGGCTAAGTCCTAGGAGAACAATGTTGGGGAATGGTTAGTTTTGCCAGGGAGGATCCAGAAAGGGTGCTCAGAGGAGAGGAGGTGTGGGCTGGGCTTTGAATGGAGTAGGAACACTCACGCAAGGGGTACCATCAATAGAAAGTTGAGAGAGAAGGTTCTGTACTGGTCAATGCAAAGAGAGAAGACAGAGTCTATTTGGAGCAGACTAGGAAATTATGAGTAGCTAAAGTAGGCCATGTTTTTTAGTGTGACTTTTTATAAGGGATGAGACCAGAAAGATAAGTTAGGGCTCTTAGAGTTATCTAGGAATTTGTGTCCTTAAAGCAATAGGGAGACTTTTGATATTTCTAGAGAAGGAAATAATATAATTATGCCTGAGTTTAGATAGATACCTTTGGTTAGACCATGTATATGGTTTGAAACAAAGTTACTGAAGGAGGAGACATTAGGTAGGAGAACAGTGTAATAAGCTAAGTAAGATTATGATGAGAGTCTGAACTAACAGAAGCATTGGGAATGGAAATTATAAATCTGGGACATTACTGAGCTAGAGTCAGCAGAGTTTTAAAAGCAAATAAACAAAAGGGCATGAAGAAATTTATTTGTTCTCCTTCTTGGACATCTTAGACAGATGGTGCTTCCATTAATGAATCTGGGGATTGTGGGAGAAAGAGCAGGCTTGAGAGGAGATGGTAAATTCAGGTGGTGTCATATTGCTTTTGGACTATTTATGGAGCATCCAAGTAGAAAAGCTCAGGAGGCAGCTATCTAGTTATCTGGTTCTAGAGTTGTAGAAAAGAGACTGAGTTAATTATTGAGATTTGAAAGTCATTAGCTTGAAAATAGAGGTTGGAGACACAGAAGAGGATGGGAGTTGTTAGCTTTTCATGTAATATTTCAGATAACTGGCTTCAAAGGAGGAAAACTTTATTTGGAATCAGAGATTCAGAGGTTTTATTCTATGTTTAGTTGGTCTGTTACTCTGGGTGCGTGAAGGAAGAGTAAATCATGGCAGGAGCATATGATAAAAGAGGTTGTTCACCTCATGGTGGCCAGGAAGTGAAAGAGAAAGAAAGGGGGAAGGGGGCCCTAATATCATTTTCAAAAACACACTCTCAGCAATCTAACTTCCTCCTACTATGCTCTTAAGGTGCCACCTCGCAACAGCACCACAGGCTAGTGAGAAAGTCATTAGTATATGGGTCTTGTGGGATATTTAAGATCCAAACTATAGCAGAGAGCATCTCACTAACGAGTGATGGGGTAGCAATTTCAATCCAAGTCTTTAGTTTATTCAACCTACATTTATTGAACATCTGCTATATTCTAGAGCAAGTGCTTGGGTGGAGATATAGAGGTAAATAGACAATGGGCCTTCCTCCATAACAAGAGGAAGGTGGGGATCAATATAAGTGAGGTTCTTCTGGTTCCATGTTCAACTACACTGCTGAAATCTAATTATATTCTCCTTATACATGTCTGTGATCTCCTGGTGTGGTATATTTTCAACAACAACAATAAATAAAGTTTCATTTCTGTTGAGTATGGTCAATGGGGCCAGGTCTACTACAGAGCCTCAGCCAGATCCAGTATAGACTGAACTCAAGAACTATTGATTGCCCTAAAACCTGCTCTATTTATAGATGATTTGGCTTGGATGAAGAGAAAAATGTTACATCAAAATTTTATGCCAGTTATATGTACTTGTTTAAAATCAACATAATGTGTTCTTCCCATCAAAATCTGTTCCATTTGCAGTATCACCATTTACTACCTGAGAAGGTTAAGAGAGATTTTTCTTTGCTTCTTAAAGTTCTCCCTGATTTCATAATTTTTGTTCATTTTCCCAATGACTATGTTTTGTCCTGTACAAAAAATAATGCTGAACATAAAAAAACATTTTAAAGATTTTTAATTGGTATATTATCTAGGGGCTTCAATTGATGTATTTTCAGTAAAACACATGAATTTTATGAATAATTTATGCAACTAAAAAGATGCTAAAGAAAGACATGAAAAGTGAATGGAAAAAAATAATGCTCAATGTACTTTTAGACACTGTAAATCAGTGGAGTTCCAGAGATCTTCATTTTTAATTTCTTTTTCATTATCAAAGTAGCAACTAGGCAAACATAATCACTGCTAGTGATTTTTTCCCACATTGTTGTTTTATTTACACAGTTGCTTTAATATTATAAGATTTTTGTTCTGCTTTTCTCCTTTGGCACTATATGTATATCATGTTTTGACAATTGCATTGTCTTTGTAAATTTTAAACCATTATATAATTTTCCAGCAAATAGATGTATTCTTGTTTGTCTACACAGTTCTATATCTATGAACACTTGAAATCATTCTAATTTTCCTTATTATAAACAATGCCACAATGAACATCTTTGTACTTTTTTTCACTATCCAAACTCTCAGGAATGAAAGTATTAGGATAAGTGATACTAGCAAATACAAGGCTCTGGAAACACGTACCATCATTTTCCAAAAGAACTGTACCCGTTGTCTTCTAGTCAACAGTGAATTCTTATGGCGTTGGATCTTTAGTACTGAGTAATGTACCTCATAGCTCTTTACATTTGTATCTCTAAGTTCAAGTGAAGTTAATAGAGGAGCTATGATGTTATCATTCACAAGTTTGTTAAAGCAGAACAATTGCTCACTGCTGATTCCCACAGTTAAAACAAGACAGGATAAAGATCGTGCCATCTGTAACACCACAGGAGAGACCTGCTCACAGGCTTAGCTTTCCAGCTTTGCAAGTTTGAAGTTGTTTGATTCAGAGATGCTGACTCAAACTCACCAAACTCTGAGACTTAAAATCAATTTCACTCCATCAAAGTGCATTAATGAATTTTCTGTTACCACACAGCTATCTTTATGTTCCTCCTCTATTATACAATTTTTATTTCTATTTATTTATTTGTTGGTAGCAGGGATTGAACTCTGGTCCTTGTGCTTGTGAGGCAGGTGGTGGAACCACTGAGCTAGATCTCCAGCTTTCTATTATATAATTTTTAAAAACCTCTTTAAACATTTTTACATCTCACCTCCCTTTTTGGTTATTTTGCTATCTCGTATCTTCTCTCTATACTAAAACTCCCTGAAAGGATCCTCCAAATTCCTAGCCTGCCTTTCACTTCTCAAGACATTATACCCTGACTTCCACCCTGAAACTGACCTTATGAGGGTCAATGACCTCCATGTTGTCAAATCTCACATATACTTTCTATTTTTATCAGACCCAATCACAACTACCTGTATAGTTCTCTTCTCTCTTAGCTTATGAAGGCATTGTACAATACAGTGAAAAGCACAAAGGTTTTGGAGTTTAAAGCCCGACTCTGATATGTGTTAGCCATGTCATCCTTAAAAAGGCTCTTAAACCCTCTTGATCCTTAATTTTCTCACCTCTAAAATTAGCACAATACAGAAGTGAGGAATAGCAACACAGGTAAGAACTCAGGCTTTGATGCCACATTGCTC